GAGTCTTTTAATCTAACTTGGCCTACCTCTTTGAGTCTGGACTCCCGAGAAATTTGGACAGGCCCTGGTTGAAGCTCTCCATCTCATGGTGGCTCTCTATGATGGCGCAGAAAGTCGGGAGCTCCCTCTCTGCTGCTTTGAGGTCGAATCCCGGCAGCTTGTTGCGGAACAGCCTGCTGCATCCGTTCAGCCACTCCTTACACTTCTTCTCCTGCTGGGCCTTGACCTTCGGCCACTTGGCCGCCCGGATTAGCTTAGTCGGCCCCAGCTTCCCAAGGTCATCTAGCCGTTCGTTCAGGTTGTCCACGCAGTCCTTGGCGAACTTCCGGCACAGCTTCACGCAGTCTGCGCAAGTGCTCGCCCCTGCTTGTGGCCCTTCAGCTTCCTCTCATGCATGGTGTAGAGGTGGTTGATAGGCTGTCCAGCACCGTCCACGCCTCGCACCCGGACCTGCTTACCTCCACCCTCCTTGTGGACTTTGAGGAAGTTCACCAGCCAGCTCTTCCCTTCTCCCCCGAAAGCCTTCTCAGGCGTCAAGTAGCGCTCCGTCAGGTCACCCGTGGTTGACTCGATCGTCTTCGCAATCTCTGTCACTTCCAGCTGTCGGAGGAGACGGGGTAAGCAACAGGGAGTGTTATGAGCAACTATGTGGTAAGAAACATAACGTTGCAACAAACAGCCACACATGCGACTTTACCTCTCTTCGCTGGAAGCAGCGGTTGAGGTCGTTCATGCCCGCCAAGATGTCGGCCAAGAAGAACAGGCAGAACTGGAACTTGTAGCAGGTAACGATCTCGTATGCCTTGTGATTGTGCTCCCAAAGGAGGACTATGCATGCGCCGAGAACCTTGCATAGCCTCCCCACCGCATCATCGCGAGACAGCCACCGCACCGTGTGGATCCTTTGGACTTCGAGGTTGGTCTTGTAAATCACACGCTGCAGGTACTTGAACCGCTGACTCCACACGCTGGAGTTTCCGAGCAGCGTCGCCACGGTGTGCACCACCTTGTCGACCATGCCGAGATCCGGGTTCGACTCCGCGGCGTCCTTCACAGCCAACGCCTCACTGTGGCGAGCAGGGAACACAAAGCAATGTTAGTTAATAAATCAAACTCTCTACGAAACCAATTGGCAGCCGGGACCAACTCACATACTGATGGGCGATGCAGTGACAGGAAAACAGATGCGGGACGTGTTCCCGAAGACGCGCCACCAGGCCGTTCTCTCTCCCGGTCATCACCGACGCCCCGTCCGTGCTGATGCCGACGATCTTGGAGACATCCACGGCAGCGGAGCGGAGATGGTTCATGAGCACCTCAAAATGAGACCCTGCATCACACCGCTCGACCGTCAGCAAAGTGAAAAACTCGCATGCGACTTGGCGGTTCTTCAGGAAAGTAAGGTACACAATCATGTGTTTCCCTCGCGTGCGGTCAGTGCTTTCGTCGCATTGGATGCCCAGGAACGGTGATGCCAGGATGTGGTCCATCTGCACCCGCGTGAGGTATGTGCTGATGCTGTGCACCATCTGCTAGAAGCCGTAGCTGCAACAAGACGAGAGAAGTGATCAGCAGACCGTCAATCACGAGTGCAACATATATAGTAGACACTGCAACAACTTGAAGCGTCAATTACCGTGTGAGATAAACGCCGTACGACTGCCGGGGAATGTCAGGCGTGTCCTGCTCCGCAAGATGCCGCATCAGCTTAGGAAACATGCTAATCGGCGCGTCGCACTGGCACAGGAACTGAGTTGACCGCATCAGTCGTATCGCGCGGCGGCCCTCCACGTCGGAGTTGATGAAGTCCGAAATCACCTGCTGCCCTTCGTTGATTCCTGCCGCAATCCTCATCAGTATGCTCGTGCGCGCGGAACGACTAAGCCTGCAAGTCACGGCCGCCGTCGTCTCCTGGCATCGCGTACCTGGTGTTCCCCTTACCGTACGACATGCAGATGCTGCACTTCACGTAGGGGAAACCGTCCTTGGTTTTCCCAAACACGAGCCACGAGAAGTACCCCGACCACTTCGTCTCGTAATTAATACTCGCCTCCAAGTACATCTGCTCGCGCATCTGCGCCTTTGTGAGTGCGGGTGAGCCGGAATCAGCGCGCACGGGGATGTCACCTTCCGGCAGCTCAGCTTCTTTCGGTGGAGGCTCAACAGGCTTTTCAGGCGGTGGAATACGGCGGCCCCCCACCACCAGAGTACTCTGCGACCACTTCCCGGATCGCGCCCGCTTGGGAGTGGACGTAGCCGACGGCGGGCCTAGGGAGACCCGCACCGTGCTTGGAGTGGGACTGGGCGCGGGCGGTGGAGGGTCTTTGCTGCAGCCAGCAACAGCCGGCGGGAGTGTGAACGCGACAGGAGTGGGAGAATCAGTAGGGGTAGGTGTCACTACAGCGGCGGAGTCATTAACGGTGGACCTAGGCGGCTCTGGTGTTACAGGAGCAGCCGTAGCTCGAAGAAAATCGAGCCCAGAACGCGGAGCATCGGCGGCTTTCTCCGGCTGGGACGGGGCTATTGGTTTCACCGGTACAGGTGGCTCGTCGGGGCCAGACTCCGGAGCAGCTTCGTCGGCCGGCATGGCCTCCATGGCGGCGAGATTGGTGGCTAATCTGAGCGAGAGGGAAATGGGAGATTGAGTGCACGGAATGGAAAGAAAACAGAGGTGCACTCTGGAACAACGGCTGTTGGTAGAGGGAGGGAAGGGAAGGTTGGAGATGGCGGGGTCACCACGGAACCACCGCGCCGCGCCATCAAGGACTTGATGGCAACATTGGCCGATGAATTCGGCCTTGCATTCAAGGCCGAATTCACTCACGGGCTGCCTGGCTGCCACCGCATGCTGTCAACAGGCCGTGCTGGCCAATGGCAGATGCATGCTGTGCGTTGTGCGGTGCGCGTGGCAGCAATAAATCATTGATTTGGGTGCACTGGCGGTGTTGCCAGCTGTGTTGTACAGCACGGGGGTGTTTTTCCTTGTCGGTATTACGTCACAGTCCCGCGCGAGAAGGGGGTACCTCAAATGGGGCCATGCAAAGTTATGATGACGCACAAGGGGGGGTTATCGAAAGGAAACTTCTAGGAACCTTCCTCTCGATATCCTCGCACGCATTCACAGTCCAGCAACATGGGGCCACGCAAAGTAATAATTTTGCACAAGGGGGGGGTATCGAGACGAAACTTCGAGGAACCTTCCTCCCGATACCCTCAGGGTCCAACGAACGCATACTCTGTTGGAATTAAGGTTAATTCGGGTTGCTCCAATAAACATATGTAGTGATACATCTACACTATAGTAGTGTAGAATACATTGGTTGGGTTGGGAGAACTTGTGGTGTACACTCTTTAGAGTGGACCACCTCCCAAACCCTATAGGTTAGGGTTATCTCTTGTTGGAACTTCACTTCTTAAAAACCACTTTGGTTCTAGCATGGTTCATGCCCAAGTGGGCTCCTAAGATTCCTAGACTTTAGGAGGAATTTCTAAGACTACTAAAGCTTCCGCTAATAGCTTAGTCCATTCTAACATGGTATCAGAGCGAGGAAGGCCTAGCAATCTGTTGGAATAGGAACTATTCAAGAAATTTGATCATAACACCTTGGTGGAAGCTAAATAGCTTCCATCCCTCCCGAAGGGTTGCCGAAATTTCACCGTGGCGGACTCTGGACGTGGGAGGGGAGGAGGAGAGAAGAAAACTGCTGGAAATCGTGTGGATCCGTTCGGGAGGACGAGAAGAGCGACATCCATTCATGGAGGCGGTCAGTCAAATTTGGCCGATCAAGACGTGCAGCATACTGTCAGAATCCCAGTCACTAACCACTGGGATAAAAGGGCTTGTTTGTATAGCGGGTGAGTGCGCCCATAACCCCCCAGGCCGACATGCCTGTAACCCTTCCCTAGGATCATCGGGGATCCCCAGTGGACCTCTGACACCCCCCCGCACTGGGATGCCCGAGGTGCACACACCGGGAATCGAACCCGAGACCTTCGCTCTGATACCATGTCAGAATCCCAGTCACTAACCACTGGGATAAAAGGGCTTGTTTGTATAGCGGGTGAGTGCGCCCATAACCCCCCAGGCCGACATGCCTGTAACCCTTCCCTAGGATCATCGGGGATCCCCAGTGGACCTCTGACACATACCGTTGGAAAGGACTCGGCACGATCTACAACAATTGCCTCGGGGTCGTTGCCAACTGGCAAGCGGATCGGGCGCAATTCGCGAAATAAAGTTGGCGGACGAATTGGAAAATCGCGAATCGGGGAAGATTTAAAGCGCGGAAACAGGATTGGAGGGCAGACACCGACAGAGGAGGCTAGGGCGCATCGAACAAGCAAAAATCGGGAGAAACGGTCAAGTCTTCGTCGACGGGAAATCGGCCAACTTCGACGAGTTTAAGCGGCCAGTTCGGACGTGGGATCCAGGAGCGCGATACATCATCGGAACGGTCTCGGAGCAAGGATTCATCTGAGCCAAACGGCCCATCATTCGGACGTCCGAGCACGGAGTTACGCTCTAATAACCAAGAGGGTGTGAATCTGCCCGCATCATCTTCACCGTCACCGCCGTTGCCTCCACCACCACCTCCACGTCAAACTTCAGTGCTCCTGCCGCAAATGGATCATGACTCAGGCGAAGGGAAGCTGGAGAGTGCGCCAAAGTTCGACGGGAGCGACTATTGGACTTGGAGCTTCCGATTCGAGCAATGGGCGGAGGCACACGATCTATGGGGGTACTTTGATGGTTCGGAGGAGCAGCCTGCATCGGGTGACGCACGTGGGAGAGGAGAAATCAGAAGGCATTTGCCCAATTCTGCAATGCCTTAGTGCCAGATGAATTGATTCGCTTTGTACGGGAGTTCGGCGGCAAGACCGAGTTGGGAAACGCACCTGTTGATGGCGGAGCAAGAGCGGTCACCCGAGTTCCTGCAGGCACAGCAGCGGCATACACACGAGTGAAGGAGTTCTACCTTCAGCGTGGATTGTGTAACCGGATGGCACTTGCTGAGGAACTCTCTTCCTTGAAGATGAAAGAAGGGGAGGGAGTGGCTGCATACTGGGCGCGTGCCGAGGACTTGAGGTCCAAGTACTTGGCTGCAGGAAGGAAGGAGGAGGTTGAGGAGTGGATGATGAGGGTACTCAAAGGACTACCTCCTCACTTTGAGATGCTGAAGGTAGTGCTGAACAATCAATCACCATCGCTTACTAAGGATCAGCTGCTTACCTCCTTGAGGAGCGAGGAGATGCGGATTGGTGTCGCACCAAGATCGGATGGTGTAGCCACTTTTGGAGCGGGTACGAAAGTGGGCAGCAGCGGCAGGGGAAATTGGGACAAGGGAGGAAAGCATGGAGGCAGCAGTAGCAGCAGTGACACCAACTCGGGCAGATGGGGTCAAGGAAAAGGCAAAGCGGGGGTGCTTGATTTCCCCTGGGGGTCCAAGGGCATGGCTCATCGGGGGTTGTGTCATGGCTGTTGGGATGAGGGACATGCATGGCAACGATGTCCTCATCGACCTAAGGGAGGCATTCCGGCATTCTTAAAGCGGGGGGGCCGTGGATCCAACGGCAAGGCACAGGTGGCGGATGAGGAGGAGCATGATGACAAGGCAGAGGCAGTGGTTGGAGAGGCAGTTGCAGCAGTGGGAGAGGAGCAGCCGCGAGAGGGGTGGTGGATTGACAGTGGGGCCAGCCACAACTTTACTCCCTATGCATCGGACTTCAAAAGTAAGCTTCAGTCACCAGAGGTTCGGGGAGTTAGATTGGGAGATGGACGGGTGGTGAAAGCTGTTGGCATGGGTGAGGTGCCAGTGGTTGGTGCTGGAGGTCAGCTGCTGAGGATTCAAAAGGTCCACCTTGTGCCTGAGATGCACACGCGTCTGCTGTCAGTCCCACACCTCACCTCTCGAGATGTCATTGTCACATTCAAGGGCAAGAAATGTGTTCTTAAACGGGGGGAGAGGGTGTTGGCGATTGGAGAAAAGGAGGGGGGCAGGGACCATGGATTGGTGCGGATGTCTCTTCCTATTGCTCGTGGCACACAAGGCAGTGCTCTTGCAGCTGGGTCCTCCTCCTCATTTTCTCCATTGACCCTTGCTCATCGCCGCCTTGGTCACACCGCCCCCACAACATTGCAACAGATGGCTCGGGGGAACAGTGTACTAGGCTTGGAGATCGAAGAGGGGAGCACTGATTGTTCCCCATGTGAGCCTTGCTTATTGGGAAAGTCGGCTCGGAAGTCGTTTCCCCACGAGGTGTCTCGGGCACTTGGGCCTTTGGATGAGGTCCACATGGATTTGTGGGGGCCAGTGCGCACACCGTCACTAGGAGGAGCGGTGTATGTCCTCAGTCTCATTGACGACTTCACCAGACGAGTTTGGTCGTTCCCACTCCCCAACAAGGAATCGGCCACAGTAGCGAAAGTCCTTCGCCAGTGGCATAAGGACGTGGAGTTGGAGTGTGGGCGGAAGCTGAAGGCTGTTCGCTCTGACAGGGGTGGCGAGTTCTTGGGGGACGCTGTGAAAGCATGGAAAGCAGAGTTTGGCATCAAAACCCAATTGAGTGTCGCAGATACACCGCAGCAGAATGGGGTCGTGGAGAGGTGGCACCGGACGATGGCAGAGGGGATTCGCACATTGTTAGTCGACAGTGGTCTCCCTGCTCGCTTGTGGGGTGAAGCATTGATGTGGGTCGTGTGGGTTAAGAACAGGGTCACCCACAGTGCTTTGCCTGCCTCCATCACACCAATGGAGGCGTGGTCCGGCCAGAAGCCGCATATGGGCATGGCTCGGATTTGGGGTTGCATGGGGAGTGTCATGCTGCATGGGCATGAGAAGGGTGGCAAGCTTGATGCACGAGCTGTTATGTGTGTCTGTGTTGGGGTGGACATGGAGAGCAAGGGTTGGCGCATGCTGGACCCTTCTCTCATGCGCATTCGCATTGCTCGGGATGTTGATTTTCTTGAGAATGTGATGTGGAAGGATTGGGACAAGGCAAAGGGATTTGGGGAGCTTCTGCAGGATGCAGCTGCGATTTCCCAACTCCTCCCTCTTCCACTCTCGCCACCCTCAGCAGCGGCTGACGATGTTGAGATGCCACCTTCATCACTGCCACCGGCACCGCTGAGTGTGTCGGTGCAGCAGCAACCAACCCCTCTGCAGCAGCTCAGTGGCCCCTCGGTCATTCAGCGGAGATCCGCTACACAGGCTACTTCCTCTTCCTCCTCCTCTGGTCAGCGCTCTGTCCCTCTCTCTACGGGTGCCCCTCCGTCACCAGCGACTACCTCCCCACCACCGGTTACGGGTTTGCAGGTGCTTGGTATCCAGTCTGGTTCAGGTGGTGAGGAGGTAGGGGGGGATGCTGGTGTGGTTGAGGGCATGCTGTGTTTGGCCAGGGAGGTGGAAGGTGTTGCACTGGCAGGTGTGAGCACCGGTGATGTCCCACGCACACTCGCTGAGGCCCTGCGTGGCCCTGAGGGCCCTGCGTGGAAGGCAGGCGCTGAGAAGGAGGTAAATGCAATGCGCACTATGGGTGTATGGGATCCAGAGCCGGTCGACTTACCTCCAGGTAAGAAGGCCATTGGGGTCAGGTACGTTTTCCGCAGGAAAACTGACAAGGAGGATAAGGTGGTACAGCACAAGGTTCGCCTTGTTGCTAAGGGGTACACTCAGGAGCCCGAGAAGGACTATGATCAGGTATTTGCCCCTGTGGGCAAGCTCACCTCAGGTCGGGTGCTTCTTGCAGAAGCCGCCGTAAAAGGGTGGCATGTACAACAGGAGGATGTTGATCATGCTTACCTCAAGAGGAGGTATATGTGAGGCAACCTGAGGGATTTGATGATGGTACAGGTAGGGTGTATCGCTTGCGCAAAGCTCTCTATGGGCTCAAGCAAGCGCCTCGTGCTTGGAATGAGGAGGTTGGTACCACCCTGATTGCAGCAGGGTTTGACCGCAGTGCATGTGATGAGGCTCTGTACATCAGGTTTGTTGATGAAGAGCCAATGTATGTATTGGTGTATGTGGATGACCTCTTGCTTGTGTCTCCACGCTTGGAGCTGATCGGTCAGGTCAAGGAGGTGCTTGCTCAGAGGTACCAGATGAAGGATCTAGGTGAGGTATCCACGTACCTTGGTGTGGAGGTTCGCAGGTCGGTCAAGGATGGGTGGTTGGAGATTGGTTAGGAGAAGTATGTCCGTGGTCTCCAGTGAAGGTTTGGTGATCTGCTGAAGGAGACCCATAGGGTGCATACTCCAATGTCACCCAATGATCTCTCTAATATCAGGAATGGTACTTGGTCGACTGAAGAAGGTGTTGCAGCTGATGTCAAGGTGTACCAGAGTCTCATTGGCAGCTTGATGTATGCTGCTATGACCACCCGTCCTGACATGTCTTTCACTGTCAACACCCTTGCACAGTCCTGCGTGGCACCAAGACGCATTCACATGCGCGCTGCACTGAGAGCACTCAGGTACTTGGTCGACACAGCTGATCGTGTCATCAGGTATGAGCGCCAAGGTGGTGAGCAGGTTGTTGGGTACACAGACTCGGATTGGGGTGGTGAGACTGATGGCAAGAGTCGCTCTAGTTACATCTCCAAGCTGGGAGGAGGAGCAGTCAGCTGGTATAGCAAAAAGCAAGACAGTGTTGCAGCAAGCGTTTCTGAAGCTGAGTACAAAGCTCTATCGGAGGGGGCCAAGGAGGCCATTTGGTTGAGGAGTTTGTTGGCAGAGATGCATGTGGGGGATGGGGGGGCTATTCCTTTGCTCTGTGATAATGAGGCTGCTGTCTCCCTTGCCCACAATCCCGTTCTCCATCAGCGCACCAAGCACATTAAGGTGGCATGGCACTTTGTACGGGATGCGGTGCGCCAGCAGGAGGTCGAGGTGCACTCAGTACGCTCCCACCTCCAGGATGCCGACATGCTCACCAAAGCTCTTCCAAGCTTGCAGCTGCATGAGAACCTGGAGCGCATCGGCATGCGAGTGATGGCTGCGAAGGCCAAGGCTTCATTCGCTGGAGGGGTTGTGTTTTGATTTATGGGTGACCTTTAATGCTTATTGGAGCAAGGGGGGGTGTTGGAATTAAGGTTAATTCGGGTTGCTCCAATAAACATATGTAGTGATACATCTACACTATAGTAGTGTAGAATACATTGGTTGGGTTGGGAGAACTTGTGGTGTACACTCTTTAGAGTGGACCACCTCCCAAACCCTATAGGTTAGGGTTATCTCTTGTTGGAACTTCACTTCTTAAAAACCACTTTGGTTCTAGCATGGTTCATGCCCAAGTGGGCTCCTAAGATTCCTAGGCTTTAGGAGGAAGTTCTAAGACTACTAAAGCTTCCGCTAATAGCTTAGTCCATTCTAACATACTCTACATAGACATTGTCGGCAAGTACACTACTCTGAGCCTAGTTACAAAATTTCAGAGTTCGTTAAGTACCTAATCTGATTGGATCAGAGTTCACAAAGTACAAAAACTGAGATTGCAGGTTCCACCAAGTGACGTTCCTGTAATCACCCTGAAATCAGGGTAATTACCCTGATAAAATCAGCCCTGACTGTAGGGCTGTAACAACACTATACTGTACTAACTCTTATGAGCAGAAATCAAATAATTTCCAACTCTTTTAAGTAACTTCCAAGCGACGATAGCTCTCCGTGTAGAAAACACACCGTATGACATTGTAGCGAGTTGACTTTTGAGTTGACTCAAATGCCAAGACAGCATCCATGCTACACACCACCTGAAGACAGCCAGTCACATCAACCCCTCATAGCTTCCTTCTGATACAGATCACAAATACCCCCACCAACACAATTGCCGTATCACTTGCTGGGTCGTTTCCCTATGAGCAGCTGTAATGCTTGCTGTGGTGGTGCCTCATTCTTCCCTGCTGCTGCTGCTGCCACCAACTGAACCTTCCCCTCCTTATCAGCCCCCTTCCCTTCAGCCTTGTGTTCCCCTGCTGCTGCTGCTGCTGCTGCTGCATTTTCTTTGACTCTTCCTTTGCCTTTGCCAGCTGCTGCTGTTGCTGCTTACCTGCTCCTTTTTGCTCTTTCCCCTGTGCTTTCAGCTGTTGTTCCTTCTGCTGCGCTTTCACTGGCTGCCCTTTCACCGGCACCTTGTGCCCCGCCTCCTTCCTCCTTGCAGCGCCCCCATCGCTTTTCTCTCCCCTTGCGCTCGCCCCACCCTCCTTACTGCCACCGCCACCAAACCCAGCACCAGCACCACCACCAATCATACCAATCCCAACACCGCCCACACCAGTAGCAGCAGCACCAACCCCACTGCCGCTGGCAGGGCCAATAGCACTGCCAACGGAACCTCTTCTCTTCAGCTGCCCTTCGCCCTACTCCCGCCCCTTATCCTGGTCCCTGCCAGGTTCCCTTGGCTTGGGCATGCGTGACAGCGTCCGTATAGACGGCCTGTGAGCCAACGTGGACTTAGAAGCCCCAGAAGCACTCGCACTACCAGCGGCACTGCCACCACTAGTAGCACCAGCAGCAGTACCACCACCTGTACCAACTGCACCAGGACCAGCAGCAGCACGACTGGCAGGAGCATTACCCAGACCAGTAGCACTCAGCCCCCGAGCCCGCGCACCTGAACCAGCACTGCCATGCCCATGCCCGGGCCCAGGCCCAGGCCCATGCCTAGGCCCATGCCCATGGGGGTGCGGATGGGGATGGGGATTGGCGTGGGCATGGGGAGGGTGGAATGATGAGCTCCTGGGCGTGCGGTGTGACGTGCCGGGGTGGAATCGGGGGGCATTGGCACTCTTCAAATGCGCGTCCCATGGCTCAACTGAGGTGCCACCTGCTGCTGCTCCTCCTGCTCTGTCTCTGCTGGTGGACTTGCGAAGGTCCCCTTGCTCCCCCCCGCTTGGTGATGCACACACTGCAGCAACGCTAGCAGCAGCACCAACAGCAGCAGCAGCACCAACAGTGGCAGTAGCAGCACCAGCAGAACCAGCAGCAGGGCTAGCATCAAGAGAAGCAGGAGAAGAGCCAGAAGCTTCAACCCCATCCTTCCTGCCTTTCCCTCTCTCCTCACCCTCCCTTCCACCACCACTGCCCCCTCCACCCAAAACGGCCTGCAATCCGCTCGTCCTCCTCTCGCCACCTCGCGCTGACGTGTACCTGGATTCTCCTCCTGCTGCCGAGTAGGCAACAGCACGAGGTGACGTCATCTGGGCAGATGCATGACTAGGATGAGCTGATGACACGTGGCCATGAGGGTTACCCCCTGGAGTACCCCATTCGCCTGCCGAGCCATACCCTGCCGAACCAAAGCCTGCCGAGCCTAGATGCCCTGCTGCCCATGCCTCCCATCCCACCCGAACCGACCCCCCCCGTCGCAGCTCCCCGACCCATCTGCAAAGCCTGGAACTGTGCCGCCCAAGCCGCCGAACCTGACCCGAACCAAGAGGGCGGGGTTCGGCCCATACCAAAGTGCAATGCTGCATTGACATACCCCGGCCCATATAACCTCCCCCAGAAAACCCTCCCCCAGCTGCTCCCATCCCGCCCATGTACCCATAAGCCTCTGCTGCTGCTGCGGCAGCAGCAGCAGCAGCAGGACCATACCCCACTCCTGCCCCCCCTGCCCCTCCTGCTGCCCCGGCTGCTGCTGCCGCAGCTGCTTGCGCCCCTCCCGGACCATGAAACGGGGCCAGGTTCGGACCAAACCCTCCCGGCCCAGCACCTCCCGAGCCTCCTGCTGCGGCTGTAGCAGGGGCAGAGGACGGCGCTACAGCCGATCCCTCCCTGCTACCTCTCCTCTCCAGTGCACCCTCTCCTCCTCCCCACTCTCCTCCCACTCCCCACTCCCCACCGCGTCCCCCATCCCTCCCAGCCCCTCCCCACGGGTGACCGTGCTCTGCAGAGAACTTGGACCTCCTAGGAGGAAGAGGGTCTTCAGTTCTAAATCGCCTGCTTCCATCAAATCCCTCCTGTAGCCCTCCCTACTGATGTCTGCCCCTTGGGATTCCGAACCTCCTCCCCCCTCATATCACTTATTTCTCCTCATCCAAATCTCGGCACCAGTGTTGTCCCTCCGGATTCGACTGGTGTCGTCAGCTTTCTCACCACCACGAACACCACCAGCCGCAGCAGCAGTATCAGGAGTGGCAGCAGCAACAGCTGCATTATCAGCAGCAGCTCCAGCGCAGCTCCAGCGTCACCAGCAGCAGCAGCGCCATCAGCATCATCATCCTCCCCAGTGATATCCGTCATACACCGGATCCCAGCGAGGCTTCAGCTCTAAATCCCCTGCCTCCGTCAGGGTTTTCATCCCCTCACCCCCCCACGTCCCCCCAAGTCCCCCCCAAGTCCCCCCAAGTCCCCCCCAAGTCCCCCCTAAGTCCCCCCTACCCCCCACAGAGGGGGATGTGGGGGACGCGGACTAGGGGGCCTGAAAAAACGGGGTGGAGGGGAGGTGGGGGGGGATAAATTCGGTAATGCAGGGAGGGGAAGGGTAATGCAGGGAGGGGAAGGGTAATGCAGGGAGGGGAAGGGCAATGCAGTGGGGGGAAGGGTGATGCAGGGAGGGGAAGGGTAATGCAGGGAGGGGAAGGGTAATGCAGCGGGGGGAAGGGTGATGCGGGGAGGGGAAGGGTAATGCAGCGGGGGGAAGGGTGATGCAGGGAGGGGAAGGGTAATGCATTGCGTGGAACCTGTGTGGCAGGGCGATGCCGCTCTGGGCCACACTACAAGCGACGATCGTGCGATCGTGCCTTCCCTTGCGATGACGAGCGGCGGGGGGCGAGGAGAGACTTATGGGGGACCGGCAGTTTCAGTGCGGCCTCTTGTCGCATACTTTCGGGAGGCGCCACCTCTCGATAGGCGACAAAATGAGTGGGAGAAGGGGGGAAATGAGCGGGAGAAAGGGGGGGCATGACAGGGAGCAGGGGGGGAAATGAGAGGGAGGAGAAGGGGGAAATGAGGGGGAGAACGGATGGAAATGAGGAGAAAGGGGGGCAATGAGCGGGATAAGGGGGGGAAACAAGAGGGAGAAGGTGGGGAAACGGGAAGGAGAAGGGGGGGAGATGAGAGGGAGTAGGGGTTTGAATGAGAGGGAGAAGGGGGGGAAATGAGCAGGTGAATGGGAGGGAAACGAGAGGGGGAAAGGGGGGGAATGATGGGGAGCATTAGGGGAAATGAGAAGGGGACAGGGGGGACATGAGAGGGAGCAAGGGGGCGAATGAGAGGGAGAAGCGGGAAAAATAAGGAGGAGAAGGGGGGGAAATCAGAGGGGAAAGGGGAGTAAACGAGAGGGAGAAAGGGGGGAAAAGGGGTAATGGGGAGACGGGGAGGGGAAACGGGGTGGCGGAAAGGGGAATTGGGGAGGCGGGAAGGGGAAACGGGGAGGCGGAAGGGGAAATGGGGAGGCAGGGAGGGGTAACGGGGAGCGGGATGGGGGAACGGGGTGGTGGGAAGGGGAAACGGGGAGCGGGAAGGGGAAACGGGGAGGCGGGAAGGGGAAATGGGGAGGGGGAAGGAAAATCGGGGAGGCGGAAAGGGGTAATGGGGAGACGGGAAGGGGAAACGGGTTGGCGGAAAGGGGAATTGGGGAGGCGGGAAGGGGAAACGGGGAGGTGGGAAGGGGAAACGGGGAGCGGGAAGGGGAAACGGGGAGCGGGAAGGGGAAACGGGGAGGAGGGAAGGGGAAACGAGGAGCGGGACGGGGAAACGGGAAGGCGGGAAGGGGAAACGGGAACGGGACGGGAAAACGAGGAGGCGGGAACGGGAATTGGGGAGGCGGGAAGGGTTAACGGGAAGGCGGGAAGGGGTAATGGGGAGCGGGAAGGGGAAACGGGGTGGCGGAAAGGGGAATTGGGGAGGCGGGAAGGGGAAACGAGGAGGCGGGAAGGGGAAATGGGGAGGCGGGGAGGGGTAACGGGGAGCGGGATGGGGAAACGGGGTGGTGGGAAGGGGAAACGGGGAGCGGGAAGGGGAAACGGAGAGGCTGGAAGGGGAACCGGAGAGCGGGAAGGGGAAACGGGGTGACCGGAAGGGGTACTGGGGAGCGGAAAGGGGAAACGGGGAGGCGGGAACGCGAATTGGGGTGGCGAGAAGGAAGACGAGGAGGCGGGAAGGGGTTGGAAGCTCCCGTTTCTGCAGCCGTTCGTGCACTCTAGTGAGGCTGCCGGGGCTAGTGCGGAAACGTGGTAGCGATGCAGTCGCGATCGGGCCGCGACTGTGATCGTGCGTGTTCGGCAGTTTGAGACGAGTCGTGCGCGTTCACGGTGGCGTGAGGAGGCACCGTCGTGAGGCAACACGACGGACAACGAGGTGAGGCCGTGAGAGGAGGTCCCGCGGGATCGCCGCGTGAGAGGGCGGAACCCTTCTTGGTTTATCCCTATAATTACAAGAAACTGCCCCACGCGTTAAGGTTTGTGTCGGAAACGAAGGTAATTTGCGCTGGCTGTTGAGTCGCGATGCGCTTAGCTACTTATTTTGCTGCCAGTAGAGCGTAGTGGCGTAGATCTCACATGGGCGGGATTTCGTTTATTTTTGCCGATCCAAAAGTTTTGAATCACCAGCAAGTGCTGGGTGTCGGGGAGATCTCCCTCCCTTGTTCAGCGAGTGAACTAGCTGTAATAGGGTTACCAATATTTCAAATTTCAAAAGTTTTGAACCTCCCTCTTTCAAATGTATACAAAAGCTTTAGAGTCCGTCATTTTAAATTCTCCCGGGACATTAAAGGCACAATTGTGAAGAAGCGAGAACAGTACTGGAACTGGAGCAGGAAACACAAACTGGCAAAAACCATAGGAAGCTCACACATAAATTAACTTACTTTCGTGTCATCTTCTCCAAGTCTTCAAGCGTATCTTCGGTATGATATGCTTGGTGCCAGGCGCGCGCATGCCATTGGCAAAAAAGTTCGACCGTCCGAAGAATCTTCTGTTCCACATTCTGTCGCAGAGTAGGACGGGCTGAACCTGTCGAACATTATATGCTTGTTAGGCTACAGTGGGTTAGCCTATATGGGGTACACAATTCTAGGGTTTGCTATTTGTACTGGGTCACCTGTTAGTTCAATCATTCCAGTCCGTTCATTCTGACATGGTTTCAGAGCAGGTCCTTCGCTAGGACCGTTCTTAGGGCCCACCGCTACCTACCTACCTACCTACCTACCTACCTACCTACCTACCTACCTGCGCCTTAGAGCGCCTCGGTTCTTACGGCCCCTTAAGGCCTCGCGCCCTCGTGCGCCTTTCCCTACCGCGCGCGCGCGACCCGCTAGCTACCCGCGCGCGGGTCCTTTTTTTTTTTTTTTTTCGCGCGCGCGGCTCTGTTTCTTGCGCGCGCGGCCCGCTAGTTGCGCGCGTGGCCCGCTAGTCGCCCGCACGCGGCCCGTCAGCCCTTCGCGCGGCCCCCGCTGCTCGCGCGCACCCCGCCGTGGCCCCGCAGGCCCGCAGCTCGCTGCCGCAGCTGCCGCACGCCCGTCACCCGCAGCCGCCCGTACGCCACTGCCGCTGCCGCTGTCGTACGCTGCTGCCGCTGCTGCTTGCGCACCGCCCACTGTCGCTGCCGCTGCTGTGCCGCCGCCACTGCCGCCCGTGCGCCGCTGCCGCTGCTGCACGTGCGTTACTGCCGCTGCCGCCGCCGCTGCAGCTCCCGCCCGTGCGCTCGCTACCGCTACTCCCGCCGCCCGCTGCAGCTGCCGCCCGTGCGCTACCGCCGCTGCCGCCCGTGTGCTGCTACTGCGGCCGCCATTACCGCGCTCACTGCCGCTACTGCCCGTGCGCCAAAGCCGCTGCCGCCCGTGCGCCACTGCTGCTGCCGCCCGTACGCTACCACTCGTTTGCCGCTGCTGCCGGCCTGTCGACCCTGCCCGCGCCCCTTTTTTGAGGCCCAGCCGGCCCCGTTGACACTGCCCACAGTCTCCCAGCGGCCCCGTTCCTACTGTAACTACCGCTACTGCTACTGCCGCTATGGCTACTCCTACTGTACTCGCTTTCGATGCTGAGGGCCGTCCAGTGAAGTTCGAAACCTGGCTCGATGACCTCCACCTCTTCCTACAGCTCACTGCTAAGGAGGACATTTCACTGTACGATCACGCCCTAGGCCATGCTACTGCCCCTCCTACCACTGCTGACAGCACTCAGCGCTCACAGTGGCAGACTCGTGACGCCCACGCTCGCTTTGCTATTCGTAACTCCCTACCGATCGACGAGCGCGAGCACTTTGGCCAGCACAAGACTGCTAAGGAACTGTACACTGCTGTAGATGCTCGTTACTCCTCACCCGCTTCTGCCACACTAGGCCACCTTACTCTCCCCTACCTGTTCCCCGACCTGGCCTCCTTTAGCACAGTTGCTGACCTCATCACCCACCTTAAGACTAGTGAGGCCCGCTTTCGCGCTGCTATGCCTGACGAGTTCCTTACTAGCAACCCCCCCCCGCTCTGGATCACTCTCTACCACATCGTCACCCGCCTCCCCGACTCCCTGCGCACAGTCAGGGACCACTTCCTCGCTCGCTCCCCCACTGAGCTCACCATTGCCCTCCTCGAGAAGGAACTGCTTGCAGCTGAGGCGAGTATCGTCGCTGTAGGCACCTCTCGTGGCGACCCCCGCACCCCGTTCTTTGAGGGGTGTTCCCCTTCCCCCCTTCTCCCCTCTGTCGCCTCTGCTGCTGCTGTCGACCTCCTTGGTGCTGAGAAGGTCGGGACCGCGTCTGCTCCGAGCGGGCGCCGCAGGAGCAAGGGGGGCAAGGGTGGAGGTGGTGGCGGGGGAGGCGTGGGTGGTGGCGGTGGGGGTGGAGGTGGGACTGGAGAGGCTAGTGGCGGTAGTGGGGGTGGTGACAGCAGCGGCGGGAGCGGTGGCAGGGGCGGAGGCGGCAGCGGAGGCGGAGGTGGTCGTGGCGGCGGCAGGGGTGGAGGTGGCCGAGGCGGTGGCGGCGGCGGTGGTGGTCGTGGAGGCGCTGGCGGTGGCCAGAGCCAGCAGCACGCCCCGTCGCTTCAGGAGGCACGTGAGTGGTATTCGCAGCGGGGGGGGGCGGGTGGCTTTACCTGCACGTACGTCATCCGCACTGGTGACCGCACTGGCCAGACGTGTGGGAGGCCGCACCCCACGCAGCGCTGCTTCTCGCGCCTTACCGACGCATGGCGCGCCCAGTTTCCTGCTGGCGCTGAGCTGCCCCGCTGGGCTGATCTGGAGAGGCAGGGAGTTGATATCTGGGCTCTAGACTTTGATGCTATTCTCACTGCCATGTATGCGATGTTTACTAGTGGAGAGGGTGCTCAGTACTTGCGTGTTCCGCCCGACCCGGGCATTCTGACCAGTCCGGCTGCCGCTCTAGGTGCTAGTGAGTCTGCTGCCCCAGGTCCTGGTGAGGCTGCTGCTCTAGGTGCTCGTGAGTCTGTGCCCCCTGGTACTGAGTCGACTGCGGCACTGCACACCTTCACACTGGACTCAGGTGCTTCTCGCTGTTTCTTTCGTGACCGCACTGTCCTTGAGCCACTCGCTCGGCCAGTTGCTGTCTCCCTCGCTGACCCCTCTGGGGGTCCGGTCATTGCGACCTCCTCCACTGTTCTTCCCTGTCCTGCGGTCCCGTCGGGCACACTGTCAGGTCTCTACCTCCCCTCGTTCTCTACGAACTTGGTGGCAGGTTGTGCGCTCCAGGACGGGGGTGTTCACCAGTTCACCCCTGCCTACGAGCGCGTGACACACTGCACGTGTGCTCGGACGGGCCGTCACCTGGCTACCTTCACTCGGCAGCCGGGGTCGGACCTGTACACACTGACCACTGACTCCCCTCAGGTAGCTGCGTCTGCGTCTGCGTCTGCGTCAGGTCAGCTGTCCGCCCCCTGCTCGTGTCGCTCTCTGGCGCATGAGACTGTCCTCTGGCACCACCGCCTTGGTCACCCGTCTGTGCAGCGCCTTCGGGCCATGCACAAACGGGACCTTGTTGCTGGTCTTCCCAGGGTTCTCCCTCCCCTCCCACCCTCGCCTGCTCCTCCCTGTCTTCCCTGTGTCGAGGGGCGGCAGCGCGCCGCTCCTCACTCCTCCTCCTTTCCCCCGACGACTGCTCCTTTGCAGACGCTCCACATGGACGTGTGGGGCCCAGCCCGCGTCCGTGGTCAGGGTCAGGAGAGGTACTTCCTGATTGTTGTTGACGACTTCTCGCGCTACACCACGGTCTTCCCCTTGCGCACCAAGGGTGACGTCTCTGATGTCTTGATCCCTTGGATCCGCAGATCTCGTCTCCAGCTCAGTGAGCGTTTCCGCTCCGACTTCCCTGTCCTGCGTCTGCACTCTGACAGAGGTGGGGAGTTTTCCTCTGGCCTCTTGGAGACCTTCTGTCAGCAGGAGGGCATTGAGCAGTCGTTCACGCTTCCGGCCTCTCCACAGCAGAACGGGGTTGCTGAGCGCCGCATTGGCTTGGTCATGGAGGTCGCTCGTACCTCCTTAGTTCATGCGGCTGCCCCCCACTTTCTGTGGCCGTTTGCAGTCTGATACGCTGCGCATCAGCTCAACCTCTGGCCCCGTGTCTCCTTACCGGAGACTTCTCCGACACTGCGTTGGACGGGAGAGGCTGGCGATGCGTCGCGTTTTCGGGTCTGGGGATCTCGAGCTTTTGTTCGCGATACGTCCGCGGACAAGCTCTCACTGCGTCGCCTGTACGTACTGCTCGCACTGGTCGTCGTGTCCCACGTGAGCGTCCTCCTCCTGTCCCTGGCACTCACTACATGACCCTGCGTCCCTCCACTGCTCCTCAGCGTGTCCCACTACCGTCTCCTCCTGCTTCCTCTCTGCCTACTCTTCCTGACCCGGAGTCTGACTCCCGTCGTGCTGCCAGTCCCACTGTCACCCGTCTCCTCGCTACTGTTGTCACTGACGTATGTTCCGCGGACGTATCGCGAACAAAAGCTCGGGATCCCCAGACCCGAAAACGCGACGCATCGCCAGCCTCTCCCGTCCAACGCAGTGTCGGAGAAGTCTCGGGCAAGGAGACACGGGGCCAGAGGTTGAGCTGATGCGCAGCGTATCGGACTGCAAACGGCCACAGAAAATGGGGGGCAGCCGCATGACTCAGGGAGGTACGAGCGACCTCCATGACCAGACCAATGCGGCGCTCAGCAACCCCATTCTGCTGTGGAGAGTCCGGAAGCGTGAACGACTGCTCAATGCCCTCCTGCTGACAGAAGGCCTCCAGGAGGCCAGAGGAAAACTCCCCACCTCTATCAGAGTGCAGACGCAGGACAGGGAAGTCAGAGCGGAAACGCTCACTGAGCTGGAGACGAGATCTGCGGATCCAAGGGATCAAGACATCAGGTACGTCACCCTTGGCTCGCAAGGGGAAGACCGTGGTGTAGCGCGAGAAGTCGTCAACAACGAGCAGGAAGTACCGCTCCTGACCCTGTCCACGGACGCGGGCTGGGCCCCACACGTCCAAGTGGAGCGTCTGCAGGGGAGCAGTCGTCGGAGGAAAGGAGGAGGAGTGAGGAGCGGCGCGCTGCCGCCCCTCGACACAGGGAATACAGGGAGGAGCAGGTGAGTCGGGAAGGGGAGGGAGCACCCTGGGAAGACCAGCAACAAGGTCCCGTTTGTGCATGGCCCGAAGGCGCTGCACAGACGGGTGACCAAGGCGGTGGTGCCAGAGGACAGTCTCATGCGCCAAAGAGCGACACGAGCAGGGGGCGGACAGTGGACCTGACGCAGACGCAGACGCAGCTACCTGAGGGGACGCAGTGGTCAGTGTGTACAGGTCCGACCCCGGCTCTCGAGTGAAAGTAGCCAGGTGGCGACCCGTCCGAGCACACGTGCAGTGTGTCACGTGTCAGAAATAACTGAGCAGGAATGAATGAACTAGAACAGAGTTTGGTACAAGTAGGAAACCCTAACTTTGTGTACCCCCTAAGGTGTAACCCACTACAGCCTAGACAATATAAACATGCAATGTTTGACACACCCCCATAGGCGCAGTGGGAAACAACCACAGGGTCACAAGACCAGTCAAAGCAAAGCAAAGCAAGCTCAGGGTGGATCTCAAGGATTCCACACAAATTCCGAGCACAAGCAAGCGGTCACAAGACCAGTTCACATGCAGGTTTATAACAAAGTAAGAGATACAGTGATCACAACCTAGCAAAAGTAAGCAAGAAGGCATATATATATAGTGATCACAGTACAAGTAAGGTCAAGAGGTAAGCAAGTGAGGCCCAGTAGGTACAAGGCCTAGCAGAGTGCAAAAGCGCTGATGGTCACAAGGCTGAAGCGCCTTGGTGAACACATCAGCAGTGTTGGCCTCCGTGGCCACGTAACGCAGACAAAGCTGACCACGCTGCTGCAGCTCTCGAGCAAGGAAGTACCGCAGAGCGATGTGCTTCGTTCTGTGCTCCAGTCTGTGCTCCTCACACAAGGCAATGGCAGCCTTGTTGTCGACGTACAGCACTGGAGGAGAACGAGGCCGCTCTCCGAGGTCGGTCAGCAGGTAGGTCAGCCAGCGTAGCTCCTGAGCAGCCATGGCTGTGGCGTAGATCTCAGCCTCACAACTGGAGCTGAGAACAGAAGAAGAGCGAGTAGAACGCCAAGAAACTGAGCCAGAGCCAAGGCTGAAGGTGTAACCCTGGGACGACCGCTGAGTAGCCTGGTCGTCTGCCCAAGAAGCGTCTGAGTGCCCTGTGAGAACAACCCGGTCTCGCCCTCCAAGCACAAGCCCCATGCCCGACGTACTGCACAAGTAGCGCAACACCCTCTTAGCAGCATCCATGTGCTCCTTCCGGTGACGGCCAGGAGCGACATAGCGTGCTAGGATGCTAAGAGGGTATGCAAGGTCAGGTCGAGTGCAGGTCATCAGGTACATGAGGCAGCCCACAAGCTCTGGATACGGGCCACTCGGCTCTACGGACTCATCCGAAGGCAGAGCTGAGAGCGAGTGACCGGTAGGCAGAGGAGTGGACTGAGGCGAGGAGTACGTGAAGCGGAAGCGCTGGAGGACCTGCTGCACCATGTGTGACTGAGTCAGGGTGATGGTGCGCCGTGCTCTGTCCCGGGTGATCCGCAAGCCAAGATAGCTCGTCAGCTCACCCAGGTCTGTGCACGTGTGTCTCCTCTGCAGCTCCGACTTCACGTGAGCGAGTGCCGCGGTGTCAGCAGTGGCAAAGACCAAGTCGTCGACGTACACGAGGATGTAGAACGGCGGCAGCGAGGTGTCGGTGCGTAGAAACAGCGACGGGTCAGCAGTAGAGGGAGCGAACCCAAGAGCCGCAAGTGTCGTCCTCAGTGTGTCGTGCCACTCACGTGGCGCCTGGCGGAGACCGTAGACCGGCCGCTGAAGCCTCCACTGGGTGCCAGGAGGAAATGACCCAGTGAAGCCAGGGGGGCGGCGCAGCCAGATCTCCTCGTGCAGGCTGCCCTGCAAGAAAGCAGTGCTGAAGTCAAGAGAGTGAAGCTCGTAGTCGCGGTGAGCGGCTATGTGCAGCAGCACCCGAAGAGTAGTCATCTTCGGGGTGGGGGAGAAGGTCTGAAAGAAGTCTACTCCCTCTCGCTGACTGAAGCCTCGAGCCACGTAGCGCGCCTTGAAGACAGGTGGAGAACCCGGAGGCCGCTTCACCCTGAAAATCCACATGCCACTGACGATGTTCGCCCCAGGAGGGGGAACCTCGTCTACGTAGGTGCCTGTGGACTTCCAGGAGGCCATCTCTGCGTCCATGGCTGTCTGCCACTGAGAGGAGTAGGGACCCGCCATCGCCTCAGCGTAAGAGCGTGGGGTCGGGATGTCTGGTGCATCCGGGTCTCCCTCAGGGGCAACTAGCAAGGACACGAGACGGGGCAAAGCAGCAGCAAGGCAGTGGAACTCCTCCTGTCTGTCCTCAAGGACGTCCGTGCCGAGGGCACACTCACCCCCGACGGACGGAGGACAGGCAGACGCAGACTCAGACCTAGCGACAAGGCTGGCAGCGTAGTCTAGGCGACAGCGAGCAGCAAAGTCAACCAACTCAGCGACCAGGGCAGACGCAGCAGAGGACTCAAAGGTCGGGTCAGTGACAACTGTAGCGAGGAGACGCGTAACAGTGGGACTGGCAGCACGACGGGAGTCAGACTCCGGGTCAGGAAGAGTAGGAAGAGAGGACGCAGGAGGAGACGGCAGCGGGACACGCTGCGGAGCAGTGGAGGGACGCAGAGTCATGTAGTGAGTGCCAGGGACAGGAGGAGGACGCTCACGTGGGACACGACGACCAGTGCGAGCAGTACGAACAGGCGACGCAGGACGAGACTCAGGCTCACGACGCTCTGTAAGACCTCCTGTGGGACCAGCGTAAGGGGAGGGAGCAGGGAGAGGCGAGACAGGCGGTAACTGTGACTGCGGCTGGACAGGCAGAGGACACTCGACGGAGGGAGGAGGACAAGGAGGAGGAGCCTGACCAAGAACCTGCTGAAGGAGCGGTACGAAGTACGGTCGCGGCCGTGCAGCGTCTCCAGAAGCAGCAGGGACACCAGTGGCAGCCCCAACGCCCGAGTCCTCAGCACCAGCAGCAGCTCCAACGCC